AAAAAAAAAAAAAAAGCATCAAAAATTAAAGCATCAAAAAGTTATAGAAGTTTAAATTTACTGTAAAGAAAATGCACTATAATAATTTTATTTTATATATAGTAAATATTTTACATAACAGGTTTTACTCTAAAATTGGTAGAAAACTAAATAAGTTATGTTCCAAATCTGAAGTTGATATGAAAAAAAATTGAGGTTCCTGTGAGATTTTATTTAGAGTGTTATACCACAAACAGCCACTGTGTGCCATCCAAACTCCATTGAATTTTTTATGCATTTTTCTGTCACAAATGTCTTGACTTTGTAAATATTACTTCTATCTCAAAATAACCACCAAATATGGAATCCTGAGACTCAGACCTTTCCAATGATATCTTTTTAGTCAAGATTATAAAAAGGTTTGATTCTAAAAGACCGTAATGCATTCTGTATTTGTTTGATATAATTTTTAAGCCACTAAACTCTGGGAACTCTTGGAAGAGCGTTCTACTGCCAAGGCAGCAGGCTATATTTATCTGGGTACAGTTAAACTCACGCTTGATGCTGGCGCGATGAGTCTCCCGCTCATGAGCTATCGCTCCGTCCCTGTCTGACTCATTTTAGAACAGGGTGAGCTATGAATGTGGGTCTGTTTCACAGGCTCTTGGGTTTCATGGCAGCTGCTTTACTGTGAGTCTCATTTGGTAATGAGTCAGCAGAGCAAAGGGAGATTGTTTTGCTTCAAGCAATGCAGCTCAATGTCCTGTTTGATTCTATCTGTCACACTCTGGCACTTGTGTGGCCGAGGTCAAGCCTATATGCCTTCCCACCAATCAGACCGAAACTATGACCCTGGTGAGGGTACAGGAAGACAGAGTCTTCTATTAGTGGAACTGCAGTGGCCATCCCTGCAGTTTGGTTCTCTTACTCCTGGAGGCACCTCCTTGGAAGATTCCAATTAGAGTCAACCTATTGTCTGGTTTGGGCACATTCTGGGATCTCTCAACTGAGAATGTGGAAACTTTGGGTTTAGCTCCATTAACAGGGCTCTCTAGTTGACTTTGGTCTTTCTTCTGCAGTTAAGGAGACCATTTTGGCTGCTAGAGAAGGCTGTATGACCTGAAGCGGAGAGTATTCTCTCCACTTCACGAATTACAACATGGACCTAGTTCACTGCCGGTTGGCACAATGCATTTTACTAGCCCCAGCGACTCAGAGAGTATATGTAATGGTTACTGCCACTAAACATATAAAATTAGGCTTTTTTCAAGGGAAGAATTCACTTGTTTCTTGCTTTACGCATGGGATGAGATGACGGAGACCTTTTCATCCTGTCAGTGTGCCATGGAACCTTTTTTAGTCTTTGTAAGTGCAGAAAATGTTTCTTTTATTTTGTATTTTGATTATGCATTTCTGGGTGTTTGGTCTGGGTGTAGGTGGATATTTACCAGGTAGTGTTTCTTGTTTGATATATTCGTGAGTAGAGAGTGGGTGAGTACAAGTCACCAAGCGCAATATGGCTATGTCCTCGCAGCAAAGTTGTCTTTCTGCTGCTGCTATTACGGTTGCTGCTGTTGTTATTGATACAATGCATATTCCCATTCTGGCTTTGCTTATATGCTTAACATACACATTTTTTTAAATATATATATATATTTTTTTTTTACAGTGTATTGGGAAATGTCAAAAAATGACAACAAACTGTCACGTTTAATAGCCCAACAGTTGAGCTAGTGACACTGTTAATCATCTCATGTCAGATAAATCTGGACTTTACTGTAAAGTTACTAACTATCAAAATATAAAGAAGTATCATAGCATGCTGTTACATACTGTGAATAATAAAACCTTTAGCCTAGCGCCCTCCTGGGTCCACCAATTCTCAAAGTCCTTTTGGAGTTTCACTTTCAACTTTTCATGCAACAGCTGTAGATGTTCAATCTCTGTCTTCAACCCTTTTAAACATCCAGATTTGATCTTGTAACTATAAAGAAAAAAATATATGAGTAATGTATACAAGGCATGTTTCATAAAAAAAGATAAGAAAGCATAATTAAAAGCATATGGTCCAGAAAGCATAATACTGTTTTAGATTTGTAAATTATAAGATCAAAGTAGGTTAGAGTAGTGAATTACAGATATTTAAGTAATAAAATGAGACACACTTTTTCTTTTCCTCCTCTATCTGGTTGAGAATTCTCTCCTCAACAGAGTCTGACTCTGATGCTGTTAGGTTTCCTGCTAAGCCTAAACAGAACAGAACAAAGAGATACAATAAGAAACTGGTGCAACATAATATGACTTATTCCAGAACTGTTATCAACTGTAATTAACAAAAAGCTGGACAATTTTTCCAGAAGTCAAAACATTCAGAAATTCTGAAATTCTAAATGGAAATCCTGGTCTTCAAAAAAAAAAAAATGTTGTGCTAAACATTCACAATCGCTAGGGCATATTTCTCAGTATTTAGTTCACATTTTCAAAACTGTTCACACTTATCACACTCTTACCAACTCTCAGTGTAAAGAAACTTAGTATTTAGTAATACCACCAGTTTGATGGCACTGAAACTATCGGATGAGAACTAAACTTGAACTGAACTGAGATTAATAATGACAATATTCTCTTCTTTAGAGCTGCTTTATAGCTGAACTGAACTGAAACTGAACTGACTCAAGTTGAATATCAACACTACTGACTCCAGTAGAACTGCTTAATGCTGAATTTAACTTGTGTCATAATTGATAAAGGTCACACAGTTATTGGAATGAATCAACACTGAATTGAATGGAGCTGAATAATGACACTAAACAAACAAACAAACAATAAATAAATACATTTATTTATTAATTTCTTAATTTCAGTTTTAGTTTTATTTATTTTAGTACATCATATATCATATTTGAAACTGCTTTGAAACAATCTCCTTTGTATACAGCACTACAAAAATAAAGGTGACTTGACTTGGCACAGCAGTCATAAATCAATGACCTAAAAACATTAATACAGTAACAACAGGTAGCATTTAAAAAAAAAAAAAACCTTTATACCTCTCTACTGTTTAGAATGCACTGTAGTATGTTACATGGTCCATGTTTACATTACATTTTCTTTTGACATGATCAAAAAGGCAGTTGCTGCCAGACCCATTGCACACACTGACCCATCTTTGAATGAGTAAGATGAGGATGTGGTAAGAAAAAGGAATGTAAAAATGAATGGTTAATGGTTATTTGAACGTCTTAAGTATTTTGAAAGTCACTAACCTTGGGCTACCATTTGCTTTCGTCTAATTTTCAGCTGGGTCTTCAGCTCATCTGGAAGTGAGGGAAAAGAGCTGAGATGTAAATGGGAACAATCAAGGGTTACATTCAAGATGTTATTTTTTCACATCTGCTCTTCATGGCATGGATCTAACTGCAGGATCAAACTGCAGCAGTCTCAATTTATTCAAACAAACTTGTTTTTTCTCACTGTTTGCCAGTCCAATTCATCATGCTTTATAAAGCGCAATTAAAACAACAGTTGACTAATGTGCTATACAATGAACTCATAAGATAAAAGATGTGACGCAGGACATAGAAACAACAGGCATCAACAACATCACAAGTTGTGGGCTAAAGAGTATAGATGGGTTTTAAACTTTCATTTAAAAATATATACTGTTGGTGCAGTTCTAATTGGAATTAGGAATAATTTGGTTCCACAGGAGTAATACGTTCATGTTTGCAAATGCCAATTACTAGCCTTGCAGCCACATTTTGAACCATTTGTAATTGAGATAAAGAGGAATGTCTGATTCCCAAATACAGATAATTGCAGTAATCAAGTCTAGAAGAAAACATTTGGAACATAATCCGGCCTAGGATGCAATATCACCTTGACCAGTCCAGGGGCAAATTCAAGGCAGGAGGGGACTACTGAAAGAGCCTGCAAATCTCCCATCCTCTTAAGAGAATATATTGCAATTAGCAGAATTACGTTGAGAGTCAGAAGCTTCTCTATTCGAAGGTTCAAATATTCCCAGGTGGGAAAGTGTTCTGTGTCTGTCAGAGCTTATTTATTGTTTCTTAACCCTCTGTTGCCCCTCAGTCATTTTTGAACAAAAAATTCTAAATTTTTGTTTACATTTTTTTTTTTACTTCATAGGAAAGGTATGAAACTTGCCATGTGAAAAAACTAACAAATAAACAAGCAAAACATGGACATGATTTGAAAAGGTTAAATGGTCCTGCAAAAATAGTCACACTTGTACCCCTCACAGTCGAAAATGACCCCATTGTAAACTAATAGGATATTATACTGTAACACTGGATAGGATACACAAATAAAGTCTGTTCGTTACCCTCCTAAAAGCATGTTTAATGATTGCACACAGAATAAACACAGAAACCAAGAATGAACCCAATGCCAACCCAAAGTGTATTATACCAAAAAAAAAACAATATGTACAAAATGTATGTGTGGGCATTTATATTATCCGTGCCAGTCCAATATGATGTGGGTGTGTTGAATCGGCCTCACCAGTGAAGCGTTTGAGTCCGGGAGCATGTATTGGACGGTCGATCATGTTACGAGAAATGAGCAAGGTAAACGATGCTTTAGAACGCCAGTAAGCCGGCTTCCTTTATCGGAAGAGCGGATGATCAGCTAATGCACCTGACATCACAGGGATATCCTGATACGTGGCAGAACATTCGCGAGAGAAAATCGGACCAACAACACTCGACGGTCAACAAAAACTTGCTTGATGTAAGCTTCTAAACACATCCCCATGTCTTGCACAGATTGCCCAGAATGCTGGAGCTAAACTGGGACCCCCCCAATGGGTAAATATTTCTTCCCGATGGATTTTCACTATTTTCTGGATCTTGGCATCTGTAAGTGGGAACATTTCCACCCACTTACAGTAATATAATAATCAACAATGACAAGGAGGTAAGTGTTCTGTTTGTTATTGCTAGGGAATGGACCCATTAGGTCCATCCCTAAAGTGTGTCCTGGCTCTGTGATCTGTGAACTTTGCAAAAGTCCATATGGTTCTGTATTGCTGGGTTTGTATTTCTGGCATACCTCACAGCCTTTGGCGTAATCGCAAAGTCCTTCCTGACGGATGGCCACCATGCAACCTCCAAGATATTCAGCAGAGTTTTTAACTGTCCAATATGGCCACCTAGGGGATTGCCATGGTAATAATGCAGGAAGTCAGTCATTAGAGATTGTGGTACTACCAACTGATATTTTTCTCCCGTATTTTTTTTAAAGGAACTTTGCGGTACCACACACCTTGGTGGTCTTCAAAGGTGATGGGCTGTTCTTTGACTGAGCGAGGTTGGATGCCAGACTGCAGGTGAGTGATGGTATTGTCCAAACTTTGAGCTTTAGCAATTTCTTCCAGAGAGTGTGGTAAGGTAGACGAGTGGTGAAAAGATATGGAGAGACAGGGGGCAACATTAGTAGAAGGTGGCTCATATACCCGGGATAAAGCATCGGGTCCCATGTAGAGGTTGTTGAATTGTTGTAGACGGAGACTCCAGTGGGTTAGGCGTGAGGAGGTTTTGGGACATTTGAATGCCCAGGCGAGTGCAGCATGGTCCACGAAGACGTCAAATGGCCTTACCTCCAAGTAATGCCTCCACTTTTCAACAGCCAAAACAGCCAGACATTCCTTTTCGGACGTACTATATTTCCTTTCTGCACTTCCTTCTCTGCTTCCCCAGACTGTTGTGTAAGGGTTGGCTCCCAGTCCTACATCACTCGCATCTGTGTGAACTAGGAAGCTTTTGGTGAGGTCTAGTTGTATCAGTACAGGTGAGTTCTGTAATGCTTGTTTAAGTGCATCCATCCTAGCCTGACACTCTAGAGTCCACTCCCACTTGACTCCTTTCTTTTTAAGGTTGTTCAATGGAGCAGCTATGTCAGCAAAGTGGGCAATGAACTTATGATACCACCCTGCCAAGCCCAGAAATCATTGCAGAGCTTTGAGGTCTTGCGGTGGTGGGAACTCTGCATCAGTCTTGGTCTTCTCTCGGTCGATCTCCAAACCCCTCTCGGAGATTATATGGCAGAGGAACTTGAGCTGTTGTTTGAAGAAGTGGCATTTCTTTATAATCAGTATCAGGTTGGCTGAAAAACAGTTTATGAAAAACAGTGTTGAGATGTTGAATGTGCTGCTCTAATGTCTTTGAGCAGATGATGATATCGTTGATATCGACGAAACAGATTTTCCGCCTCAAGTCAGCCAGAACACTCTCCATAAAATGCTGGAAGGTGGCAGCGGAATTTCTGAGCCCATACGGCATAGACTTGAATTGAAAAAACCCCTTGGTGGTAATAAAAGCAGTGTTCTCTCTACTCGTTCCCTCCATCTCCACCTGCTAGTACCCAGACTGCGGATCCAGTTAACTAAACCAGGAGGCACCTTGCAGGGATTCTGGGATGTCATGAATCAGTGGCATTAGGTAAACGTTGAGTACGGTCTTGCTGTTTAACTTTCTGAAATCCACACAGAACCTGTGTGAGCCATCAGGTTTGGGGACCAGGACCGCAGGTGATGACCAAAGCGAGAAAGAGGGCTCAATGATGTTGTCTTGGAGCATCTGGTCAACTTGTTCCTCTATCTGTTTTTTTTCAGGAGAGAAACTCTGTATGCCCAGGATTTGAATGCTATGTTGTCCATCAATGTGATCTTGTGCTGTACAACTGATGTTTTACCTAGGTTGCTTGAAGTGGTGCGTGGCCAGGTGGAGATCAACTTCAGCAACTCTTCCTGACTGTCAGAGTCCCACTGTGTAATCTCTGGGGTGAAGGACATGAGTTTGGGAAGTCTGCCAGTTGGTGGTAAGGCGTAGAACAAATGCAGCTTAGCAGCTGTAAGAGAATGAGCTTGACCAGAAGGGGTAGTCTGACTTGCTGGAACGTGTGATGGCAGGAAAAGGAAATGCGTGTATCTTTTTCCAGATCTTAAGCCGTACCTTCCTTGTTCTACTTCCAAAACCGCTCAGGAAGTCCAGCCCAGCAATAAGCGGAAGGGCGAGGTGAGAGTTTTTCAGGATATAGGTGTCCACAGAGCACTCTTGGTCATGCCACTGATACGGTATCTTTTGCTGGTCTCTGGATTGGTGAATCAGTCATCATAATGAATCTCTGAGGGGTAGAGGTAATGACCGATAGAGTCTCACTCTTCAGCTCTTTCCACTATTTTTCTTGCATCAATGTGTAAGAAGCCCGGTAATCATAAGCAAAGTCCCGCAGGCATTGTCACGGCTGCTGGACCAATGTCCTCAGCCTCTCCTCCACTTCTGGGAGGTAATCAACTGAAAGAAAAGTCGCCATGAATGCCTTTTTGAAGAAATGCCAGTCTGTTAACTTAGCCTTCTCTGCTTTCCACCAGCTCAGAGCGGGTCCCTTCGGGACTGTACTCAGTGTCCCGACAAACTCAACGCTGGAGAGTGGCCTGATCTCCAGGAAGTTCTCACATTGCTCAATGAATCTGAGCACCTCTGCTGTCTCATAGGAATCGCCGAAAGCGGAGAACTCAAGATGGATTGGAGGCCGAGCACAGAATGAGGATGAACCAGCCATGACTGAGAAGGTAAGCACATTAGGTGGGTGAGTATGCACAGGAGAAATGTCACAGGTAGTATTATGAATTTTATGAGTTGGACCTTAATCTTTAGAAACCGGCATTGGAGTCTATGGCCAATGGACGGAAGAAATGTGTGAGGAAGCTGGGGAGTAGGCCTGCAATCTGGAGAGTGTGGGAGTACTGGTAAATCTTACATTTTTCATTTGACTTTCCCATTTAGCATCTCTCCTAAGAAAACAATCTTTTACGGCCTCAATTTTTTCCAGTGACAGCAGGAAATAGTCCTCCAACCTAGCCAAGCTAGCATCCATTTCCTGTCTGAAACTGGTTTCCTGATTCAATGTACTGTCCATTGTCTATTACCTGTGCTATGTCTGCTTGAATGGTTTGTACCATTCCAACATTTAAAATACAACTCCATTCATCATCATCATCATCATCATTAGAAATGTACAATGAACTAAGCATAGATGTTATTTCTGCTGTTGGATTGTGCCTGGTTACAAATGGGCCTGCTTTAAAATCCATATCAGGCAGTTCAGCATTATCATTTTGATCATTTGCAGGTGTAACTGGGTTTTCAGTATTCACATCATGAACATCAGTAACTGCATCAGTATTTGAAACATCCATCTTGAACACAACAAAAGAGGGTCCCCGTACGGGCCACCAACCTACGCAAGGCAGGATACACAAATAAAGTCTGTTCATTACCCTCCTAAAAGCGTG